CCCTACACACAATACTCTCTACCTCTGGAGGTTGTGGGCTCAGGATAGGATCTCTCCTTGGACAGGCCTCTGGCTGTACTTCAGCCTCTCTCTCTTGCCCAAGAGAGCAGGGAAACTTCCATTCATTCCCCAGTCCAGCCGACTGTGGAGTGACTGAATTTCTGTTGCCTCCCAGGGACAAAGACTGCCTTGGGACAGTGCCTGTTTTCCCTCACTTTTTGGCCTTGGGGCGGCTGGGAACTGTAGGCCAGCAGATGAGGAAGCTCCATTCAACCCCTGCAGGCCCCTCTCTGGAACTACAGCTCAATTAAACCTTATGGGGGAACATTTTAAACAACCAACCACAGACAGCGGCCATTTTACAAACACAGGTAACTGCCATTTCGTTACACCTACCAACAGCCACTGAGAGAAAAGTTAGTCCCACACAGGAGGCAAGCAGGAGAAGCGTCTTTGTCAAGAGAGAAAGCCGTTTGCAAGTAGTTCTGATGGCACAGTGGCTGAAGGGGGAGTGGGTGGGGAAGAGGAGCAGACCCAGCCCCCAGCCAATGGCACGCGAGTACTCTTGAGCCGTGGCTGACGGGCCAATGGCTGAGGGAGAGCATGGAATGTTGCCACTCGAAAACAGAATTATTATATAGAGAGATTCAGCAAGAACAAGGCAAAGACCCAGGGCAATAGCCCTGTTTAAATAGCATGCAACTCCACCCACTTCTCCAAACAACTACCAACGATAGGCTATTGTCAAAACCATTCATTCCTCATTGGCCACCTCCAGAGTCCTGGTGGGCTATTGTTCTAGAGCTCCAAGCTCAGCCAGTCTCTGGTAGAAACAGTCCTGGAATGTTCCAGTCCCAATACATAAAAAACGTGTATAGGCAGTGAGGAAAAAAATACCAACTAATGTGTGACATGGAAGTTCCTGTTTCTGGGGTCAGATCTTGGTTTCCGAAATACAAAAGAGAGCGGTGCAAAGGGCAGGGGCAGCTGTTAGGGAGGTCTGGCCTGCAACCCACTGTCAGTGATGCACTTTGGGGTAGGGTTACTATCTCCCCGATAGGGGTGGGATTCCCCCCAGTTTGGGGCCCCTAATCCGCCGCTGGTGGAGGGACCCCTGCCCCTAAAGAACCCTGTCCCACCCAATGTACCCACTCAGAGGTGACACCATTGTGCCAGGCACATCGCATGGGGGGATGCTCTAGCATTTGGCCAGAAACTCTATGGTGGCCAACACTGCTCTAGGCAGGGGTCATTTTGTAGAAAAAGAGGTGCAGGAGCTCATTAGCATAACTCATTAGCATAACTTATTTGCATGTGCCACACACCCTGACATCACCGGAAGTGTGTCAGAAGGCAACACCCACCGCTCAGGCTCCACTGGACTGTTTTAGATTGCTAGCTATTGGGGGGGGGACACGCAGATCTGTCCTCGCAGAGGAGGGAGAGCTTGTACCTGAATAAAACTTGGTCTTAAAGGTGCCACTGGACTGTTTGGGGGCGGGGGGGCCTCTGCAGCTTACCTGGCTGCTTTTTGCTCTGACTGAGGGCTGCTGGGAGCAGGGGGTGGGGCTTGTTGCATGTGCCCGCCCCCTGGGCTCTTTACTGCCAGAGCTCCGCTCCTGTGCGCTCCTGCAGGAAATGATCCCTGGCTCTAGGGCATCACCCCTCAGCTGAGCTCCCTTTCTTCCCTAACCTTTACCCTTCCCAGCGTCTGCCCCCCCCCCAACCCCACAGGAATTTCCCTAGATGAAGTCGGCAACCCTGCTGGTGGGTGGGGAAACGGTGGGCCCCATTCTAATGCAATTTGTTGTCCTTTATTTCAAGAAATGTGTCGGAAGAGACAGGCTCTTCCCATTCCTTCTCCTCCGCCTCCCAAGAGAACCAGCCCCGTGGTCTTCTTCCTGGCTGTGCTGGTGGTCCTGCTGGCTGCCTCGCTGGTCGCAGTGGGCACCCTGTGTAAGTACAGCCGCTCTGGCAAACTGAGCTGCATCCTTGTGTGGGTCTGAGTCCTTTCGGCACCCTCCTTCCAAGCCCTGCTGTGTATGCCCCTGCCTTGAGAGGGGACACAAGTAGGGACTGTTGTTATTATCGAGATATATGTCAGAGTGATAGAGGTAGCAAGCAGTTACTATAGATCAGTTTGATCTGTTTGTCAGACCTAGCTGTCATGCTAGTAATCATGTAATTACAGCCAGGTGTTTCTAGCAGGTGTTGCTCTTTCAGGTCTTGTTAGAGTTAGTGATTACATCACCTTGTTAAAGATTGGCTGGGGTTTAGCATAATAGCTATCAGCTTAGTGAGCTGGTGTAGGACTCAGTTCTCATAGACTAAGGCATGACATGTTGTTCAATAGCCTGTAAATATATCTGTATATATTCACCTTTATAACTATATAAACTCTCTGTGCACCTTCATAATTGGTCAGTCTCCCGCTTCTTATTTACAACACCCAATAGTTATGACCCAGAAATGGAAGGATGCTTAGAAGGTGGGTGGATCTGGTATTATTTATGAAGAAGAAGAAGAGAAGAGATTGGATTTATACCCCCCCCTTCACTACCCAAAGGAGTCTCAGAGCGGCTTACAAACTCCTTTCCCTTCCCCTCCCCACAACAGACACCCTGTGAGGTAGGTGTGGCTGAGAGAGCTCTTTGGAGGACTGCTCCTGAGAGAACAGCTCCAAGAGAACTTGTGACTGACCCAAGGTCACACTAGCAGCTGCATGTGGAGGCGGAGTGGGGAATCACACTCAGTTCTCCCAGATTAGAGCCCCGCCACTCTTTAACCACTACACCACAACTGGCTCTCAAAGATCCCAGGTTCAATTCCTGGCATCTCCAGTTAAAAGGACCAGGGAGTAGAAGAAGAAGAAGAGAAGAGATTGGATTTATACCCCACCCTTCACTACCCAAAGGAGTCAAAGAGCAGCTTACAAACTCCTTTCCCTTCCCCTCCCCACAACAGGCACCCGGTGAGGTCGGTGGGGCT